AAGTATGAAAATCAGCATTAAATTAAATGTACATAAATTATATATGCGATAAAGCAACCTCAGATATTACTGAAGCTACTATAGGTTATTAATCTTAAAAAAACGCACTTTAGACTAATTCCACTCTAATTCTACTCTAATATAAAAATATATCATGCATGTCCATAGTTTTCCATTCGTGCAACAGGTTCAAAAAACTTCGTAAAGTCGTAAAGAATTGCAAGCTTTCTTACCGTAAGTCTTTACTTTCACTTCAACCGGACTTTCCACGAACATCTCTCGTTCAGATTTATTTAAAATGAATGTCTACTCAGATAAAATAAAATATAATCCATCGCACCGATTTGAGGAGTTTTCACCTCTGAGGGTGAAGCGCACCTGAACCTTTCACCCGAGTGAGAGACTGCCGCTTCTACCACACCCACCCACCCACACACACACACACACACACACACACACACACACACACACACACACACACACACACACACACACACACACACACACACACACACACACACACACACACACACACACACACACACACACACCCGCGTCTTCTTTGCCCCGCCCTCTTCCTACTTATCTAACTTTTTTTTATGCAACTGCAAATAATGTGTGTGTAATATAAACAGTAACATGATATGCTTCAGTGTGGTGTTTACATTTATTTTCTACACTTATCCATTTTATTTCAGTTTTAATTTGTAATTATCTATTTATTGCATATTGCTTATGATGTTTATACTTTTAAAATATGTATACTATTTATTTACATAATATTCATTGTCTTAATATGTTTATAATATTAAAACATATTTAAAAAACTTAAACTTAAAAAAAAGTAAATATAATATATAAAAAATTCAAAAATGAGGCAACCATCACAACATCAAATGTTCTCAGGATAAATAAAGTATTCTGATCTGTGATTAATCGTTTTGGTCATTTAAAAACCTATAGTACAAAATGTCCATCCAAGTTCTTCAAAGTCCGAGCTAATGTTTTTGAATTCTTTTTTTGTCAGTCTAAAACGTCATGATATTATTTTATTTAATATAAAACATAGAAATGCAGATAATATCCACATTTGCAAGGCTTGGCAGTGAAGCAGCTTAGCAGACAACACACACCTGCAAAATGTTGTCAGTCTCTACAGCAGTTAAATGTAGCTGCAGGCTTGCAGTGGTTCAGTAGGCAAATGTATTATAATGTCCCTTACAAAACAAGCTGAGCTATTTTATGACTTGTAAATGTCATTGTGACTGGAAACAGTACGTTAGTGAGCAGAGTGATGGTGTGACAAAGTGTGGGTTGGTGACTGGAAAAAAGAATAGTTATATTTAGGGTTGCTCAACACCGCCCAGTGATGTCACTGAAAGGGTTTCTTAATCTACAGTACTGCATGATTGTTTTACACTGATGTGTGCGTGTGTGTGGAGGGGCTATACACAGGAAGTGGTTCAAGATATATGAAGCCGAATGTGAGCAAAGCAAAGGCCCAGCACTGCTCGCATTTTAAGACTTCACTTATGCTAGGACAGAGGCTGAATCCATTTGTCTCTGTGCTTTATTGGCCTCTGAAGAATTGTGTCTTTGCAGTTGTCAAATAAAGTTGACAGATATGCATCGGCTCCCCCCTGAGCACTGAGAGGGGCTCTTTCTGTGTCAGTTTCTCTCTCTCAGGGGCCAATAAACTCTGAGACTGAAAGATTTAGCTCCTGTCTGAGCAAATGGAAGATTTGGAAACAAATGTTTTCCACCTGCTTGTCTTAGGTCCTTTAACAAGGCCACCAATTTGTCAAAGGCGACACACACACACACACACACACACACACACACACACACACACACACACACACACACACACACACACACACACACACACACACACACACACACACACACACACACACACACACACACACACACACACACACACACACACACACAGAAACACACACTCTGGCTGCATGTCATGCACTACACTGATGACGTGCAGAGAGGTCTGTTTAAAGAGAAGTGGGGAGAGATATTAGAAATTGTCATGTCGGTAGTGGTTGATACTCGCCTCCACACTCTCTTCATCAGATAGTTGCTCGGTTGCCAAGAGGTTTTTGTTGTCATGGCGATAACCAAATTGTGGCCCTCACTGCTAAATGATACTGCAGAGCAAACCCATGCATCACACCATAAACTCACAGCATGTTGTACAGCAGTGACAATCGCTGGAGGATGAATTGAGAGTGATAGATCATCTCAAAGATTATGTATGGGTTTTGCTCAAATGTAAGACATCAGTTTACCCTTGAACTGAGACTTTTGATAACAACAATGGAGAAACAAAACCCTAATGAATAATAATAATAATACATTTTATTTCAAAGCGCTTTTCCAGGTGCTCAAAGACGCTTTACAGTGGTTTGATAAAACATGATAAAATAGAATAAAGAATAGAAATACAAAATAAATAAATATTAAAACAGCAACACATGCATAACTCACAAATTAAAAGCCAGTCTGAAGAGATGTGTTTTGGTCAGTGTTTTGAAAGTGGGGGGGGGGTCGGTGCAGTCTCTTATGTGTTGTGGAAGGGAGTTCCAGAGGGTGGGGGCAGCGATGGAGTAGGCTCTGTCCCCCCAGGTTCGGAGCTTGGTTCGTGTGGGGATAGAGAGGGGGTTCGCTTCTGATGAACGAAGGCTGCGGGAGGGGGTGTAGTGGTGGATCAGGTCGGTGAGGTAGGGGGGGGGGGGGGGCCTGGTTATTGAGAACTTTGTGTGTTAGCAGAAGGATTTTGAAGTGTATTCGTTGACGGACAGGGAGCCAGTGCAGGTTTTGAAGGACGGGGGTGATGTGGTCTCTGGAGCGGGTGTGGGTGAGGAGGCGGGCAGCGCAGTTCTGGATGTATTGTAGTTTATTTAGAATTTTGGATGATGAACCATACAGGATGCTGTTGCAGTAGTCCAGTCTTGAGGTAATAAATGCGTGAATGAGGGTTTCAGCAGCCGGGAAGGAGAGTGAGGGGGGGAGGCGGGCGATGTTTTTCAGATGGAAGAAGGCAGTCCTGGTGATACGGTTTGTGTGTTTGTCGAATTTGAGCTGGCTGTCAAAGATTACTCCAAGGTTGCGAATGTGAGGAGAGGGGGTTAGAGTGGTGTTGTCAAGGGTGAGGTTGAAGTTCTGGGTGGTGTTGGTGTGGGATGTGGGTCCGATTATGATGATATCTTATTTGTCGCTGTTCAGTTGAAGGTAGTTTGTTTGCATCCAGGATTTAATTTCTGAGAGACAGTTGGTGAGTGTGGAGTGAGTTGTGGCAGTGATGGTTTTTGTGGAAATGTAGAGTTGGATGTCAGCAGTGATACTGGAGGTTGTGGCGGCGGATGATTTTTCCAAGGGGGAGGATATAGAGGATGAAAAGGAGAGGACCAAGTACCGAACCCTGGGGGACGCCTTGGGACAGAAGGCCAGTGGAGGAAGTGCAGTTATTTATGTGGATGAACTGGTGTCTGTTGGTGAGGTATGATTTCAACCAGGAGAGTGCAGTGTCAGTGATGTTAAGAGATGATTCCAGGCGGGACAGCAGGATGGTATGGTTGATGGTGTCGAACGCTGCTGTGAGGTTGAGGAGGATGAGGATGTTGAGATTGCCGGAATCTGAGGAGAGGAGGAGGTCGTTAGTGATTCTGAGGAGGGCTGTTTCTGTGCTGTGCTTTGTGCGGAATCCTGATTGAAAGGGTTCAAACAGGTTATTGGAGCTGAGGTGGGATTCCAGTTGGGAGGCTACAACACGTTCGAGTAGTTTTGATAGGAAGGGGAGATTGGAGATGGGCTGAAAGTTGGACATGACGTCAGGTGGGAGTCCAGGTTTTTTCAGTATGGGTGTAACAGTAGCCAGTTTGAGTGAGGGGGAGACTGATCCAGAGCAGAGGGAGGAGTTAATGATTGTGGTTATGAGTTGGGAGATGGGAGGGAGGCATTCCCTGACAAATTTAGTTGGTATGGGGTCCAGAGTTCAGGTGAAGTTCATTCCAGCCATGAGGGTGGACAGTTGCATGGGGGTCACAGGGGAGAACCGGGATAGGGGCTTTGAGGTGAAGGGGTGGGGAGCCAGGTGGGGAGATGGGGAGGGCTGTTGAGGAGGTCAGGTTTTAATAGATGCTGTCGATTTTGGATTGAAAGAATGAGAGGAAAGAATTGCACTGTGTGGTTGTGAAGGATGGGGTGGCGTTGTCACAGGGTTTAAGGAGTGTGCTGATGGTGGAGAACATAGCCTTGGGGTTGCTGGTGCCGGAGTGTATCAGTTGTGAGTATAGTTGGACCGGGCTGCTTTTAGTACGTTATTGTACTGATGTAGGTAGTCGGTGTAGGCATGTAGATGAACTGTTAGAGTGGTTTTCTTATGAAGGCGTTCCAGTTGGCGTTTTTGTGCTTTCATTTGGCGGAGTTTGGGGGTGTACCAGGGGAGCTGAGTGAAGAAACACATGCAGGCCCTTTCCCAATCACTACCAACAGTCTAAATGTTTAAAATAACTCCCATCCCAACCAATTATTGAGTATTGAGAAACAAACATTGCATGCAATAATGAAATGTCAAAGTTGCATTTTAAATAGCTGAACTTTATTCCCCATTTTTTTCTGATTATGGCGTCATTGCTAAAACAAATGTAGGCTCAATATGGCTAAAAGATTATTCAAAACATATTAGAGGGAATTTGTAATCATATCTATATCTCTTTATTTATCTTTATAAATCTATGTATAAACTATTTATTTCTATTGTCTAGAACTACATTTTACTTTAACATAGAATAATTATCTTGTAAGTAATTTTATAACATAGGAATATATAGTCACGAACAAGTACCTGTAGGCCTACTTGTGTATATTAATATCTATCGCTATATTTTGTACGTCGTTTTTTGTTAAATAAAGTTTTGGGGATTTAAAAAAAAATGCTACAGAAACGCGCCACTTTCGCCAATTGCCGGCCCATACTGGTTGTGTGGACTTTCGTCATCTGTATCATTTTAAAGTTTCATGGTGAGTCAACTGAATATAATATATGTATTTTATGTTATAGCGTTGTTAAAACTAGTAAGCATATTTAGGTATAACTTTAAAACAAAAGTAGCCGTGTCAACAACGGACATTCGTTTTGAGATGATGAAGCAGTTTGAAAGCTAGCTAGCTTAATGTTGTACATTAGCTGATTTTATTATGAATGTATTGTTTTGCTAGATAGAATATCATAAAAAAATTAAAACGGGACAACAAGTACAACTCCAGGATAAAGACATGTTTACTTCAAAGTTTAGTATGGACACAGATATGGGTTTTTTTGTACAGTAAATTTAATTTTGGGGGGAAATTTCATATTCATAAAAAGATGGACTCAAAATTCTCAAACAACTAATTGTGTATTTAACAAACATTTAATCTGAAATATGAAACTATATTTTTATTTTTCCTTATTTAATGTAATGTTTTATTACTTAATATGTCTACCCCTGATAGCAACTTCTTGTACAATAAATTATGTTCATATTATGTGCTTGAAACATTAGCCGGTTAGCTTAGCGATAGCTAGCTAGATAGCTCACCCGGCTGACTTCCGGCTATAGATGAGAACCATGGTGTATATTTTTTGTTTCATCAGGTTTGAAGGCCAACATGACAGGCGTGGATATTGTTTATGATAAGATCCACTTCGGACACGACCAGAAGTGGAGTGGCCGGCTGGGGCCTGCGGAGGGCAGCGGGCAGCTGGTGTGTGTGGCCTGTGTGGTGGAGATGATCGAAAGTGAAGATATAGCGGTGAGAAATACCATCATAAACGTGTTTTTAACCAGTGGTGGAAGAAGTATAATAATAACAATTCATTAAATATTTTATTAGAGCGCTTTTTCAAGTGCTCAAAGCCCTTTACATTACATATACACATTGCAGTACTCAACTGTTTTCAGTGGTGGAATGTAGTTTAGTACATTTACACAAGTCAGTTATTAAATTACAATTCTGAAATAGTTATACTTTACCTGAGTATCTTAAAGTTATGCTACATTTTGAGAGTGGTGGAAAGTAATGGAGTTCATTTACTCAAGTACTGTACTTAACTAAAATGTTTTCTAGTAGACTATTTGTTGAAGGTACAAAAAAGTAGAATTATCCAAAATACAACAAAAAGTACATATCTTTTTATATCAAAACTTTGTTTATCTACAAGAGTAACATGCTAATTGATGCAATACTACTATCATATTATCTAATAATGTCATATATATAATAATAAATTACACATGGAGGCAATTTTCTGCAGAATTACTACTTTTACTTTTTATACTTTAAGTACATTTTGCTGGTAACACTTCTGTACTTTTACATAATGAGTGCTTGTACTTTCGGTACTTAAGGTATATTACTACTTGACTACGTTTTTGAATGTTAGACTTCTATTGTATCTGAGTATGTTTAGGCTGTAGTATTGCTACCTTTACTCGATTAAAAAGATCTTACTACCTCCTCTGCTTAACTTAACTCTTCTATACCCCCCCTCTCTGTGGTGTGCAGTCTGTGAGGAAGTCTTTTGCCTTGTCTGGGATCAGCGGGGTGCTGAAGTGTTCTCCAGGGGCTCTGAGAGATTTGCTCAGTCAGGACCACCGAGTCTCTGTGCGCTTCACAGCTTCTCTACTGGGTGAGAAACAGTTAATATGTGAAGGAAGGAATAGCAAGTGCTTGACTTGCATATCCCAGCTGTCCTGTCCGTTTTGCTGCATATAGTACGCTTATAAATCAAGATTCTTAGGCTTTAGTGTCACATGCACGATTAGCTACAGCATCGTTTTTGGCAATGAAAATCTGAAGAACCAGACTCCACCGATAATGCAACATACTATGCTTTAGACATACAAATAAATACAACTTCACTGCAGGCAGCAGACAGAACAGTTTATTGGTGGAGTCATCTTTTTTGATCCTGTTTTATCCTACACTGCTGGTCGTAGAGGTCCTCCATAGATTTATTTTTGTAAACTGACCCAGAAGTTAGCATCGCTTCGACAAAGGCAATGTGATTATCTATTAGATTTTGGAATATTGCAGATAATGAGTTCTGTGGCAAAAACACAAAAAATAAAGTAAAAATCTACCGTTAGTCTATAAAGAAACTACATCAAGGTCCCATGACTTCACGTCACCACCACTAAGCTAAAGGCGGCTAATGTTTACCATGATGACGTCTAGTCGTCTCATTTAGACACTTGTTAGACATATTGAAGCTTCAGGCATTTGGGTATTTACTGACTTATTCTATGTTATAGAAACAAACTTGAAAATATCTTCAGCTTGTGTTAACCACAGAGCATGTTCCAGCTAACAAAAACTAATTAAAAAACCATTTGAGACAACCCACTACATGGTTGGCAGTCATAATGTGGTTATGTGTTTGGAAGTAGAAGTGTAACTGAGCATTCTCCATTCGATATTGACCATCTCTAACCAGCACAACTTGTTTTGGACATGTAGTTGTCTTGAGTTTGCTTATAAAATTTGCTTCCTGTTACTAATTTCCCCTCGGTCAGTCCACAGTTGTGCTTGTGCTGCAGTCATATCACTTCTCCTCCAAAAGGTCAGACAGAGCAATGGAGACAATATTGTGATACCTGAGCTGTAGAACACAGAAATATCCACAATGTTCAACATAATACGGTTACAAATTGATTCACCTAAATGGAGTTGACATGCTGCTTTTCTTTCATGTTAGGCATAATTAAAGTACAGACTTCTGTGGATTATTCTAATGCATTACATTTACTGACGGCATTTACTGGGCAGATTTTTGCATTAAGTACTGATTACATTTTGTTCCCGTTAATATAATTGTCGTTCCTTCTCTACAGCTATATTAAATCAAATGTGTGTTATTGCATAGTTGTGTATCTAATTGACAATCTGAAAATCATTGACATTGACATGGATTACATTCAAGTGGACAGTTTTGTTTCTTTGCTCACTGAGCAGAGTATTTGTGAAGCTGACCGTTGAGCGGCCCGACCAAGCAAGGAGGCAGAGGCAGAACGTCCAAAATACAACCCGGTGTGGGCATTTATTACTCACGGGCACATGACACAGCCTCAATCTCGCTGTTCACGTGAGCACAGTCACCAGACACAAGGATCTTACACCCCAAACAAACAGGAAACACAGAGCCTAAATACCCACACTAATTAACCCAACAAGACACAGATGAGGGGGGAGGAGACAACACAGGGCACCAGGTGCACACAATCAACAGCAACAGACATGGGGAAAGGGAACACTTTTCAAAATAAACCACATGTGCAATATTACAGTTACCTTCGTCACAGTATTACACTGCATGATTACATTATTATGATACAATTTAGGATGATGAGAAGCTTTCAGCGAGCAGCTAACTGCCAAGACTAGGGAACTCAGAGTGCTAAAATGCTAACTAATTTCTGTGTTTAGGACTCATTCCTGCAGTGTGTTGTGTTTAATACTTGTCTGCCATTATCCTCACTACATTGAACCTTTTATAGGATATGATATTATATAAGGATGGTAGGTAAAAAGCACTGGTGTGTTAGTTTAATACATTCTCTCTCTGCCCCAGCTTTAAGTACACCTCAGTTGGTTTTATAAATCCATTCTCATCAGAGGGTATTACAGACTCTTGCTCCTCTCGGTACCAATTTCACTTGGTTATTGCAGCATGTATTACGCCATTTGAGCTCTAATCAAATTAGTGAAATGAGAGGATATATAAGCTCTGACCAATGTGACAACACATTAGAAAAGCCATTTTGGTGCTTGAGGGTTTGGTCTGCTGAACTGAGCTTCACCAGGTGCCAATGAGAGGGTAATACAAGATAAAACATGCCTATCATATCCCCTACTTCACATTTTGGGTAGCATTTATTAAATGCCATAAACATTTGATAATTTTTTGCAAACTTTTCTAAATGACATGGCTTTTTCTGCCCTTACATCTTTTCTAATAATCCTGCAAAACCTACCCAAGATGCATTAGATGTGACCTTTGTGACAGTACACCATGATCATGATGAAAGTGCAGATGGAAAATAACTTATAGCTAAATCTGGCATAAATCGTCTCATCTTTTTTGGAAAACAATGTATTTTATGCATGTGATTGTTCAGCTTTTGTTTACTTGCTGCGCCTCTGTGAGACCTCGGAACAACAACATGGGTTTGTGAAGTCTATTCTTAAATCTACTCAAACTAGCGTGTCATTATTTGTCTCTCCCCAGGGATGCTTCACACCGTGGTGGACCAGGCCACTCTGGAAAAGGTGGATCAAGGTGAGGAGATGCCTCTTAGGTGCTTACCACACGAGGACGATAACGGTAACGGACCGCAATCGTTATCAAAAAAGTATTCCGTCCACACGCAACAGGCACCAGAAACGTGTCCGTTCACACGAGACCGCTTGAAAGCGCTGGAGACGCTGTAGTACATATGCCAGGCCTGTAAGTGGCGCTGTAGTCTGCCACAAAAGCAGTGAAGAAGACTTCCCGCGCATGGTTGCCATGTTTGCCCTTGTGTTTATTCTCCGCTGTGGACGCTCTGACTCTTTTTCTCCCTCCCCGAGGCAAGCGTTTGCTCCTGCTGCTCTCCGGTAGTCCACCAGCAGATGAAAAACACCCACCTCTCCGCCTCTTCCAAGGGACGAGGGAACAGTCCGGCAGAGTTTCAGTTCGATTTTTTTTCGCCGGTCAACATGTCCGTTAAAGTTTAAATCTTCCGGACAAAATTAGAAAAGTGCCGGTCAGAGGTCTTCTTTGTTATTTATTGAGCTTTAAAACAAATTGATAACGACTCTATATAATAATAATAATAAAAAACGGAGCCTCTCTTTTCCTCCCCCTCTTCTGACAGCCCAGCAGCTGATCTCTGAGCAGGAGAGGTGGGGAGAGGCGGGGCTATTGCTTCATCGTTATCAGGACATGATCGTATAGTCGTAAACACGGAGCCGTTTGTCCCCCAGAGCGTTTTGTTTGCAGATCTACCCACCTTGGGACCCGTTATCGTTTTCTGCGTTTCCGTGTCGGCCTCGTGTGGCCGAACCGTCTATCTGATAGAGAACTGTAGCAGATACGACCGTTATCATCCTCGTGTGGCTGCAGCCTTACGGCCCGTCCACACTACAGCGTCGACAGCTTCAATCTGCCCATTCACTTTGAATGGGGTGACGTCACGTTGCCTCGCTTTTTCACCGAACTGAATTGTGGGTAGCATAGCGGTCCGCCTCCGCCGTCAGAAGTTGAACAATGTTCAATTTCTGACGCCGGAGTAGCTAGCGTCAGCCAATCAAATCCCATTTCGGAAAATCTGACAGCTCAAGCCGTAGCCAATCAAACCGCGTCTAAGTTGGGAGAGATATCCCGCCGTTCATTTCTATATTTCAAAAAAAGATGGAGGAGAAACTAATTATCGCCGTAGCAAATCACCCGGTTTTGTATGACCAGACCCTCTTCACCCAGCGGGATACAAACCGGAGGAACCAGGCATGGAGGGAGGTGGCAGAGACAGTGGGTGAAACTGGTAGGTTTTCGCCTGTTTGGGGAGTTTATATATATATATATATTGCTCCCATAAAATCCCCGGGGTTTTTTGCTTTGTATGTCGGGGGCGGGAGATTCATGTGATTGGTTGTTGGTCGCGTTGCTTGAATAAAATCCCAAAGCTTCAGACACGCCCAGCTCCAAGCTTTTTTTGAAGCTGTAGTGTGGACGCTCCGTTAGTGGTTTGAATATTAAATGTGTGTGCATGTGTATGCCCCCATACCCCAGTGGTGGTAGTAACTAAGTACATGTACTGTATTTAAAGAGGCCCTGTCATGCCTTTTGGGGTTTTCCCTTTCCTGTAGTGTGTTATATAGGTTTTTGTGCATGTACATTGTTTTCAAAGGCTAAAATCACAAGTGGTGTGCAATATAATGCATCAATCACATTATAGTTATAATATTGACTTTAAGTATGTTTTAAATGCAGGATTTTTGCTACTTCTTACTTAAGTAAAATATCGTAGTACTTCTTCCACCTTCTTCTTCCACTGCACTTCACATTACACCTACATAGAGACACATACTTTTTCTGTCGATGATATAATGCAGACAGTGTGAGAGTGCACACACATATAAAGACACAGGCTATGAGTCACTCTTCAAAGACTCTTACACAAGAACTGACTTTGAGACTGTTAATGGTCACTGCTGGTTACTAAGGTGATCAACCCCACATGTTTCTAAATTTAACATTTGTGAGGGCTTTGGCCTTTATTCTCTCATATTTGTTCACTGCTACACTCTGCAGTAACTTTTCTCTTAGTATTTAACGATTAGCTTAGCGGATTCTGCCTTAATGTCGGTCTCTCGTTGAACTTGAACTTGTTTTTAGAGCAAAGTCGGATTTGACTCACTTGCAGCTAAGTGTACAAATGCAAAGACTGTTTTTGCTAAGTGCAAATGAGAGAATGATTTTATGGTAGCTGTCTGGAATTGCCTTAGGGAGCATTTAGCTGTAATAGTAGAGTGCTTAAAATTTGACACTGCTTTTGCTCTTTGCACAGAGAAATGTATGCAGATGAAATGTTGAGCCCTATAAATAATGCTGTGTGTGTGTGTGTGTGTGTGTGTGTGTGTGTGTGTGTGTGTTTGTGTGTGTGTGTGTGTGGAGAAAAAAGAAGGGGAAAGATATGAAGAAGCCAGCATAATAGGACTGGAGCTATTATACTTATACTTAAGGTTATGACAACAGAACAATTTTGATGGCATTTGCTTAGAACAGAACTAATCCCTAAGGGCATGTGTACGTACACATAGCGCTTTTTTTGGCACACAGCTATAAAACAAGATATCTCGACAACGTATGACCGCTGTTGTAAGACTGGCTCGCATCGCCCTCTTGGAGTTGATTAGCATTTTTATACTATTTGTAATATTTGTTATAATATTTGTTTGGCTTAGTTTTTTTACCTCTACTACCACCCAGATGATAAAAGATAAAAGTGCAACAATTACCGGCAGCAACATCCAGTGTCCGCCTGACCAATCTTCTCAAACAAGAAAGCTTTTCTGTCTTTTTTATGATAGTTTTCCCGTCCGAAAAACAGGGTCAAGAATAAACGTATCCTCTAAAGCAGCGGTTTTCAAAGTGAGGCGCCAGAGAGCTTCAGGGGAGGCGCAGCGTGAGAAAAAAATAACGAGAAATAGTGAAATCTAGCTAGTTAACTTCAGCTAACTTTATGCAACATGGATCGATTTTTTGTGAAGTTACCTAAAGTGAGAGACGAGACAGCGTCTGGCAGAAAATGGAAGAAGTCTGACCACGATTATTTGAAGCTAGGATTTTCATGGACCGGTCCTGGCAAGGGCCATCTGTGTGTTCTGGAGAATCACAGAACGGCCGGTCGTCAGCTGGCCGTTATTTTAATTTTAATAATACTTACTTTGATCAAAAGCAAGTACCGGTCAAGGCTGCAGCCAGAGGATGATCTGCGTTTATTCCTGTCTACATTGCATCCCCGCATCATCCGCCTGTGCGTATTAAAGACGCAGACTCATTGTTCCCACTAAAGTAGGGCCGAGTGTAATAAGGGGGCAAAGTTGACGTTCAGTGTGTTGCCAGGAGCATATAAGGATTCATCCACGATGTTGAAAATGTTAAAAATGAAAAAAAAAGTTGTTGTTTAATGTTTTAAGGAGGTGACGCTACTCAGCCAATCAAATCAGTGCAGTCAGTGAGTCAGCAAGATAGATTCAAACACACACACAGAGACGTGACAAGAAGAGAGAAACACTCGGAGTAATTTCAAATGGCGTGCTCAAAAAAGAGAAAGGTAGACAGCGAAAACAGAGCATTTCATTTCATTTTTATTTGTCCCGCTCATGGTACGCAAAACCAAATGTACAATAATTGCCACAAAACATTACTCTACCAAAACACCATTGAGCGAAAAGGAGCAGGGAGAAGAATAAAATCTATGTGGCCTGCCCCTTTCTAAAAAAAACAAAATAAATACAAATAGATGGTCTGCCCTTCATAATAATATTTTTTTTTTTTCACAGCCAAACATAACAGTATCTTAGGATACTAAGAGAAACACAAAAAAAAAAAAAATGTAATGACATTTTCCCTCTTTGAAATGCAATTGAATACCCCTGCATTACAGCAACAACAATAATAATAGCAATAATAATTGGGAGGGGGGGCGCAGCTGTTCTTATGTTTTCTGAGGGGAGGCTCACCTTTCCACACTTTGAAAACATCTGCTCTAAAGTATACACTGACGTGCGCTCAGAAAATAAACACTGGCTGCAACGCTTTTTCTTCAGGCGGCATGGGCTCTTTTCTCACTATAAAAAATGCTAACGCTTGGAAATAGGCGCTATGTGGACAGGCCTTAATGAGCGCGACACACATCACCACAGTTTATTACAAAACAAAGAATTAAAAAACATAACTCATTCAGTTTTGGTTAACAAATACCTTTAACTGTTAGTTGCTACTGCTGTTTTTTCTTTTTCTTACATTTGCAGAGTTTTTCCTGGAAAAGTGGGAAACTTTACTGAACGGTGATGTTTATTTAATGAATGCTTCCCTGTTGTGTTTGATACTCGTCGTGTCGGTATTAATGCATACGTTTTTGTGTGTGTGTCAGTGCTGGTTCAGCTGCTGTTGGAGCTCCAGAGCGAGCTGTCATACCGTTTGGTTTTGGAGGAAATACACAAACAGGTGAGGCAAACACATTTAGAGAAACACGCCCGCTCATCTCCACATGCAGCTGCAGAACACGCATCAACATCTTAAAACATTTACCAGCGCGTGTGAAATCGAACAAGTTTCCTGGGGTTGTTTAGTAAACAGATAGCGTGCTCCTCTCCCTCTTGCTGATGTTTTGTCACCCCTGGGGAAGGCAGTTGTGCAAAAGCCTCATTCAGCAGCCGAAGCCTCAGCTGGAAAATAATAAAGCTGTGTGTACTGGTGATGACAGGAAGATACAACAGGAGGGAGAGGTGCAGACAGTTCCCATGTATGCTACTTGAATAGAGCCTGATTAGAACATTTTCAAGAACATTTATTTAGGGACCCTCTTGAATGTTGTCACGAATACTGGAAATTTGAGCTGAGAATATGTCTTTCTGTGTTCTGAAAACAATAAATTACTGGGATGTTTCTCAGATTACCATCACAAAGGATTGGGAGCATAGGTGGAAAGGTGAATGGAGAAGTACTTTTTTACAGGCCAACCCGGAAGTTAGCATGGCAAAGGCTCACACGACCAAAAGTAATGGAGTAAAAAGCTAAGGTTAGGCTATAAAGGAACTACATCACGGTCACATGACTTCATGTCACCACCGCTAAGCTAAAGAAGGCTAATGTTTGGCCTGAGGACGTCCAATAGTGTCATTAAGACACTTGTTAGCAACCGCCATTTTTAAGACATATAAAAGCTTCAGACCAGTGGGGTATTTACTGACCTTATTGCAGGCATCTAACCAAAAACATTGACATTTAATTCACTTCAAGACGAACCCAAAAGTGCTAAAATTCGTAGAGTAGTCCTAACTAAATTCCCGAGTTACGACTTCTCGATTGGTGTGTTCAAGTACTTGCTTCCACGTCTGCCCGAAAAGCGTAGATTTAAATAATCCTACACAATGTCATAGACTGTCTCTGTGTAGCGTATCTGCTTGTTCATCTTGTGCCTCTGAAGCTTTACATTGTTGTATATCAAGTCTTTTTATTTTGTGCTCTACTTGCCCAGCTGAATGACCAGCTCAATATGAAGAGTTTCCTGCCCACCTTCACCTTTTTGGGGAACCTGGTGGAAGCAGTCCCCAACGTGGCCCAGAGTCTGGTGACCCAGTATGGTGAGGCACATTTCACAGTTGTATTGTGACAGCTATAATAAGTGTATGATAATTATTTTGTTCCTTATTAATCAAGATGCACTAAAGCTGTAAAATGTGGAGTGTTAGATTCTGCTTTGGTGTCAACATTGCTTTGTTCTAGGACATGTGATAACAGTGTGAGAAGTTTCCAGCATTCCACACTGACATTTTAAACATTATGAATCAGGCTACTCATAGTTCCTTTTTGCCATACTTTGCATTGGGACAAACTTAAGATTTTCAAACAAAAAAAAGCACAAGTTAGTACGCCGTACGCAAATGAAGACACAGCAGCAGTTTTTCACGAAAACATAAATAACAACTAATGGCGCGTTTCCACTACAGCGCGGAGCCCCGTTTAAGAGGTCTGTGACGTCAGCGGCCCGCTTTTGGTTGCGTTTCCACTTGGCCTAGTACCGGCTAGCGGCCCCATAAAATCGGGGTTCTGGGGCCAGGAACAACCAGGCTGTGACGTCACTCTCGACTGCTGATTGGACGCGTCGCATATAAATATATATATATATATAGCGAAGCTTGCAGCATTTTTATAAACAGCATTTTTGTTAACAGAGGATCAACAAAAATGGCAAAGAAAAGCACACCGTGGTCCGCCGAGGAAGTTACGACGTTCCTACACTTTATTGCAGATGACAAGATCCAGTGGGAGCTCGACGGGACAACTCGCAATATGAAAGTATTTCAGGAAGTCTCTACACTGATGTGCAGAAGCGGTTACTCGAGGACTGTCTTGCAGTGTAGGGAAAAACTGAAAAAGATGAAGAGTGAGTATCGGGTAGTGAAGGACAACAACAAGCCGATCGCTCCGCCTATAATGCGTTACTATAGATACTACCTCAGTTCCTAAACTGTAATGGAGACGCGCCATAAAGTGAGCCAGTCCTAACGACCGAGCCAGTCCTAACGAAGTGAGCCAGTCCTAACGAAGTGAGCCAGTCCTAACGAAGTGAGCCAGTCCTAACGAAGTGAGCCAGTCCTAACGAAGTGAGCCAGTCCTAACGTGCGAGGCCGTGTAGTGGAAACGCGCCATTAGTGATCAGCGATTAGTTACAGAGCCTACAATACAGAAACAAGGCATATTGTCAGCCAATCATATCATTTTGCCTTGTTAAGTTTAGATACTGGACACAACAGTGATGTCATTACTGAGAGATTGACATTTAGAGAGTTGCATATTGTTTTGGGGAGGAACAGAGACTGCAGATGGGAGATTTTTTTTGGTTTTGTTTGAAAAATAACTAAGTTTGGATAAGATGAGATCCCATCTTAACTGTTCCATCAATACAAAAATCGGATCTAAACATGATGCGTCATTCACCTGTAGCGCTGAGATCCAGAAATATATCACAAATATCAGAATTCACTTTGAATGCAAGAGAAGGATATGGGACCATATTTAATTTTCATTATCCCTTGTTCTGTGTGCAGAGGGAAAACTGAAATTCAATCACCGCTGCCGATTTTGCCCTTTTCTATCACATCCCTAATGCAAAGAAATGTTTGCTCTTTGTCCACCTTTGGAATGTTCTTCCCCTTGCTCTACTCTGCTCCACTCTTTCTACTCTTGAGAGATAGGAAAAAAAACGGTACTTTTCACATCCTTTCCCCTTCACTCTCTCAATTTAGTCTCACTAGCTGCAATGACCTTTTCAATTACGCTCCGGCTGCTGAGAGATACTTTAAATTCTATCTGCATTGCCAATGCCACTCCAGCTGAAAAACCCACAAAAGTTACAATAACATGCAACCTTTCCCCTGAAATTGCCAATATATATTTATTAATGCTGTCAAAATTATCGCGTTAACGGCGGTAATTAATTTTTTGAATTAATTGCGTTAAAATATTTAACGCATTTAACGCATGTGCAGAATGGCCCGCCCCATACATCCCACCAGTGGCAGCTCCAGGGTATGGCTGGGGTAGGCTACACCCATACCAAGAAATGGCTTAGCCCCACCATGAAAAATGATGTTAAAGTAAGCAAAATAAAGTCCGCCAACTCGCGCCGAGAATTGCACAGACAGCAGTTAGTAAGATTGATTTCAGTAGCCACTTGTCTGGAAATACCGAAGACCAGAAACGGTTTTGAAAACTTTTGTCACGTAGTGATCGTCTTCTCAATAGAACATCTTTGATAATGTCTTCTGGCCAATCAGAATCAAGATAACGGCGTGGTGTTGTTGCAGGAAGTCCCGACGGAGAATACTTTTGCTGTAGTACAGGGGTGCACATAACTGGTACGCAGGTTATGTGCGTAATCTGAAATGCGTACCGTCACTTGTGTCACAAAGCGCATTTGCGTACCGACGTACTTGTGAATCTTTTCCAGAAGGCGGTTAGATCACCGGACGACAGAGTCGGTCTCCGTGCGCACAGACAGGGCTGCTGTTAACGTCGGTCTGTACAACGGAATTGTGCCAAAACTACGCCAACCGGCTGCGGAGGGAGACTCCCACCCCTTCACTGGAGAACTGCGCTAAAACAGCTGATCACAACGTTCACACTCTGTGGTCACAAAGTACTCCACTAGCCACCCCCCTCCCCCCCTCTGTCGACTTTCCTGAAGTACTCCCCCGTTGATTGAAATCAACACGTAATGAATTAAGACCCCACGGTTTGATGATTGATGGGTGTGTGGGCTGTCTTTCATTTTGACACGCAATTTTTTTTTATAATAAACATAGATACTGTATGTTAAATGGATATATCTGCCTTCTTTCATTTATCTTTCCATTCCCACAACAATATACATAAAGAAATGGCATATTTTGGACATAGTTCGAATGGTGATTAATCATGATTAATTAATTTTTAAGCTGTGATTAATCTGATTAAAAATTGTAATCGTTTGACAGCCCTATTTATATCTTCATTTCTATGTACAATACTGCAGGGCAGAAAGTCAGAACACCTACCACACACAACTGCCCCCATTTGATCTCTGCTACAACCACCTGTATGATGTCGGCCTGCTTAATGAACCGTGACTCCACTCTATTTTTAAATTTTTTTTTTTTTTAATATCTTTATTACATTTTTCAAATACAACACATAACAAAAAAGCTCAGACATGACATGACAAGTAAGGTACGTAAATAAGAATACGAAAATAAATAAAAACACTGCACAGTGTAGGGATCCCCAACCTCTACCATTCTCAATAACTAAATTAAGTTAGATAGTAGTAATTATCAAAAATAAATAGACAAATACAGATGACAGGGGTAACAAGGTTACAGGAAAGCATACAAACAGTCAAATCCAAAGTACATAGGAGCGCTAGGCTGAAGGAGGAAACCCTCGTAATATGGAAGATGACAATGTTGGTCCAATGTAGTCCAAGTAAGGGAGCCAAACATTCTGGAAAGCATCCACCGAAGAGTGAAGCATACAAGAGATGTATTCGTTAGGAATGCACTCCATTACAAGGTTATGCCACGACTTCTTCGTTTTTGTTTGTTTGTAGCCTTTATTTAACCAGGTGAAGCCCCTTGAGATCAAAATATCTCTTTTTCAAGGGTGACCTGCAGGACATTAGTTACACATGTAACATAAAAACAACAGAACAACAATAAGGATGACATACAACATAATGTACAGGGTACAGTTTACAAACTCTATTTACAGTGACAGGTACCATGAGTATCAAACAGCATGTCACCCAGCCGAGTTTTAAAATGATGCAGGGGAACCAAAGTGCTCAGTTTTAAACATGTTTGCAGACTGTTCCAATTTAGTGGAGCTGCACAACTAAAAGCTTTCTTCCCTAAGACAGTCCTAGCACTTGGCACATTTAATAAAACAACATCATGAGATCTCAGGCAATATGTACTTTCAATTCGTCGAGAGATCAGAGAGCAGATATAAAAAGGTAGTTTACCCAACATGGCTTTGTAAATGAACATGTACCAATGACTGAGCCTCCGTACAGTTAGTGAAGGCAGACCTGCCTTGGCATACAGGGTACAGTGATGAGTAAGTGCTTTATAGTTAGTAACAAATCTCAGGGCACTGTGATAGGCGGCATCTAACTTTTCCAGGCAATGGGCAGGTGCATTCATATAGATCAAATCACCATAGTCCAGCACAGGTAAAAAGGTCACAGTGACTAGCCTTTTCCTGGCTTCAAAAGAGAAACAGGACTTGTTTCTGAAAAAGAAACCTAGTCTAACCCTCAGCTTTTTAAGCAGGTTATTGACATGAAGTTTAAAAGTAAGACAATCATCAAGCTAGATACCTAGGTATTTATAATAGGTAACCACTTCAAGTACTTGTCCTTGCATAGTAACAATATCCAAAACAGGCTCTGGTATCTTTTTAGCTTTTGAAAATAGCATTAACTTGGTTTTTATCAACATTTAAAATAAGCTTAAGTTCAGCAAGCTGAGTCTGAATAATGTTAAAAACAGCCTGTAATTTAACACCAGCCTCCTTAATGGAGGGACCTGCACAATACATCACGGTATCATCAGCATAAAAATGTAAAGTAGCATCATCCACATTTTCACCTAAACTGTTGATATATATGGAGAATAATAGCGGACCTAAAACAGAACCTTGAGGAACACCATTAGCAATGTTTAACCACTCAGAAGACAGCCCATCAAAGTGAACACATTGGGACCTTTCAGAGAGGTAGTTTACAAACCACCCCACTGCATGGCTGGATATGCCGATACTGAGTAGCCTCTGCTTTAAGATGCGATGATCGACGGTATCAAACGCTTTGGAAAGGTCAATAAATAGAGCTGCACAACTCTGCTTATTGTCTAAAATACTCGTAATGTCATTCACCACTTTCATTGTGGCAGTGATGGTGCTGTGTTGTTTTCTGAAGCCTGACTGATGTTTAGACAGGATATCATTTTTACATAAAAACTCCTTTACCTGTTCACTCACTAGGCGTTCGAGCACCTTCGCCAGAACTGACAATTTAGAGATTGGCCTATAGTTATTTAAA